TTGTACATGTTAAGTATAAATATATATATATATATATACTGGTTAAAATAACTGACAACCACATTAAGTTTGTTTATGATAAATAATCAATTATACATGTGAACAAATTAAAAATGTTGATAATAAACCAATTTGTTTTTTAATAACATTGGTGTTGTTTCTTAGATACAATTAAATATATTTTAAAAAATTAATTAAAAATATTTTTCTATATTATTATTATTCAAATTTGAAAACAATTGATTTGTTATTAAATGTTTGTGTATTACTTAGATAACATTTGCATTGTTTTTTAATTCCAAAAAACAAACATTTATGTTTTAATACACTGTTATATATGATTAAAAGATATAACTGATATAATAAATAAATATGTATGGAATTGAATTTTAAAATAATCATGAAAGTGTATTTATTTTTTTGAAATGACTAATTCAATGTTCCACAACAAAGAACTGAATCAGTTATATAATTATTTATCTTCTGCTTTTTCTTTTTAATGATAAAATATTTATTTTTTATCTTATGTATATATGTGAGAGAACAACAAGTTAAAAACAAAAATGTTTTAAGATGTGTTATTCTAGTAAATTCAATGTAATGATTTAAAGTTCAGGTTTGATGTTACATGTTTTCACACTATAGTTATCAGGTTTTATTTTTGACATTTTATAAAAATGGGAAATGTTGTGATTAACAGTGAAACCCAATACACAAACTGTTGTTATTAAATTATTGAAAATAATAATCAATTAATGATTCTATTTTAGATAATAATAAATGTTGTGGTGTTACTAAAATGTATATGTTTAATTATGTGTGTTATATGAATAATAAGGAAACGATAGTTATAAAAGAATAATCGAATATAACAACTCTTTTACATGTTATTATCAACAAAAGTCGTTTCAAGAAAATTGTGTACATCGATGTAGTTACACAATGAACTTGATGATAATCGTTTATTTTTGTTTTAATGTATATCGTAGTCATTGCATAAAAGTTATTATTTACAATCAATAAATTCAATGTAATTAATAACTATTATTTTAGTGGAAATTTAATTTGAGAATTTCCTTTGTATCAACACTGTTGTATATTTGATTTTTTTGTTTATTTGAACGTTTGATTGCGTAGATAACTTTGTTATGAAAATTGATAACACGATCTGTTAAGGTTAATGATGATTATATATAATCAATTCAACAATGTGTAAATTCAGAAAAAAATAATTTTGTGAAATTTATAAAATATTTTTTTGTTATTTGGTAAAGAAAAAAGTAAAATGCCGATTTACAAAAAAAATTAATTCAACCCAAAAAATCTTAGGATTACTTGGTTGATGACAATCTCGAAGGTCACCTTCATTATAAAATGGTCAAGACATAATTTGCGCAATAAAAAATCAATTTTAATTTAATGTTTAAACTTATGATAAAACCCCAAATGTTCAATTTTAAGTGTCAAGGTTTTAAGATAAAAAATGAGGTAAGACTGGGTTCTATAAACTGTTATAACGAGTGTTATATTTTAATTTGTCGTGCTTAGCATTTGTGCAACTCTCAATTTATAACTTGCCGATCAACACTTCTGACATATCTGTTATTTTTCCAATAAAAATTTTAATTTTTAAAGTGATAAACATTCCATTTTTGATAAAAAAAACACACTTTGACAAACGTA